AGAAAAGAGAAGACGGAGAGAGCAGGATATAGAAAGAGACGGAGGAGGGAGAAAGAGGAGACGGAGAGAGAGAGAAAAGAGGAGACGGAGAGAGGAGGAAAGAGAGAGAGGAGGAGAGAAAGAGGAGACGGAGAGAGAGGGAGAAAGAGGAAACGGAGAGAGAGGGAGAAAGAGACGGAGACAGGAGAAAGAGGAGACAGTAACCAGTAAAAAGCTATTCTTTAAATACATAGACCTGGAAATCTCTGAAGTTTGGGAGGCACTAATCAATAACATTTTTTCCAATGTAAAAAGAGTACCGAAAAAAAAAAAAAAAAATAATAATAAATAATAATAATAATTAAAAAATATATAATAATACGAATATGAATACAGATGTCCTATCCAATTCTCCAATGTGGAAGAAAATTCATATTATGTATGTATATGTATATAATATATATATATATAATAAACTCTTATGCTTCAGTCATAACATTCAAGGCTTATATCAATAGATTTTTCTCATAGAGATACACATTTATTCAAAAAAAGTGTACAGCAGGCTACATATCTCAGATCCTATTATATAAATGACCCAATGTGTTCCTTTAGAACTGTGCCATTCCTCCATACAATTATACTATCATATCAAAGTACATTATACATACAGTTGGCATTCATTAGCACACGTATATTGTACGATAAAACATGAAAACATGAAAATATGGATTGTAAAAACACAATAAAGTGTCTGATGTGTTTTAAAGTATATACTCCGTTGCATTACCCTTTTGTAATCACGCTGATAATTATATTCCACACAGATGAAAAACAATGAAGCAAAAGAAGTTTCAATGGCGGGCAAGATTAAAATCAAAAGAACGTACACCTGAAATCTCATACCAAAGTGAGAATCAACATTGTGAGACGTCTAGGAATGTATCCTATGTATGTATATTTCATGAAAATTAGCTGAAGATAAATACTGATTCACATCACAGGGTAAAAATGTGGCAGCAAATGCAAACATCACTGCACTTCACAACAAGTACACTTTCTTGAGTTTTTACCTATATTTTGTCACATGTACATGTGAAGCCAAAAAATGCAGAAAATAACACATTTACACAGTGTAACTCGGGTTTCTTTGCAATAATATCTTGGTAAGGAGACACAAGCCCCAGGTATGACAGTGAAAAAGTACGCACATTTTCACATCATGAGGCTGTCTTTTTTTTCTTTCTTTTTTCTTCTTACTTAACCTACACTTTGTTACTGTGGAAAATATCAATGCTCAAACAAGGTGAACTTAACAACATGCAATTCACAAATAAATCCACAATGAAAGAAAACAATAATGAAAATCAAAATATTCAAACTGAAGTAAATACAACACACCTCTTGCCCTAATTACTTGGGTATGAGCAAGAGGCAGAAAAAAATGGAAAATCATCATCACAAATCAACGACTTTCAAGACACACCAAGAACTCCATGCAACTGGATGGGTTATCAATATTTTCTTCTCTAATTGAAAATAATTTCTTAAAAAGCCAAAATCTGTCAATCTTTCAAATACTTTAGCAGACCATTTTGTTTTGGATGACCTATTAAATATTCATTTTGTCTTTGTCATCACTCAAATGCTGAAATTTCTTTTCCATACTTTCCAAAGTTACACATTTCATTACAATGGTTAAGATATACCTACCTAATCAATTTGAAACATGAATTTATCAAAGGAAATTTATACACAAATTTATTGTCACAGAATAAAGGGGTTATTCAATGTTTAACTTATGCCAAAACAATGAGTCTAGCATCTGCAAATGATAACAGTTAGTAAACAAGAAAGGATCTATTCCTACATGTTGGATTTTGCCTTCAGTATACAGCTATCCAGTACTTCAAATAGGATTAAACATTTCTATTGTCTTTACTTTTCATTAAGCAACTTTAAGGAGATAAAAGAATATCAGGAAAGTTGACTCCTAGCTGAAAGCCAAATACTTGAGTGATAAACAAGAGAATGATACTAATAACAGGTCATTTTCCGAAATTCAAACAAAGAATTGCAAAGAAATAAGAGAAAAAAGAGAAATATAACAATCATTCATTCAACACCTGTATATTTCCTACAGTTACTGCAAAAGATCACAAAGTTCGTATGCAAATGTTAAAATATACGATATGTAACTTCATCTGGACTGACAGAAATCATAATGAATTAAAAATAAGCCTGCAAAACAGCACTCACACACACACACATACACTCAAAACGTTGCAAAACAAACTATCTGGCCATACAGGAAATTTAGTCATCTCTGATAATGTTGACTATTGGCCAGTTTGCTAAAACTGTGCAAGGCCCAACCCCATGAATATTCATTATATGGACTTGCATATGCACAGAAATAAAAGCATATCTATCAGTTAAGACATGCATATCTACCGTATAGATAGATAGATAAATGCATATATATATATATCTGGCGGAATGATAAATATGCATTTATTTCTATATACAAATATTCATTGGGTCGGACATTGTACAATTTTAACAAACTGGCTGTATTTCTCTGTTTTGGCTGTCATAATCATTACTTCCATTTTTAGAAAAGTTAAACACTTGCAATATGATGATGCCTTGTTGGTACGTAATTTAGTTAAATCAATAAAAGACTTTTACTGCCACATGGAACTTGTGCATACAGCTGGTTGAAAGTTTATAGATTACTTTGTTGTTAATGCATAAGAAAAAAAAATAAACAATTAAAGAAAATCAGAACAAAAACAGTTCTTTCATCAATTCTACTCTGGTTACCAAAGTTGCATCAAAATTTCATTGATGTGTCAAAGTAAGTTAGTGGCAAATGCACTTAATCTTCCATTTGAATAAAACAAATTCTGCAAAGGTGAATGAAAAAAAAAATCATCAGTTGTATACAATGTGCCAACAAAAATTAACCTAATAATATCTTAGATGCAAAACAGCAACACCTTTAAGAATTTTAACAAATCTCAATTATAACAATATTGCTCCTCTGTTCCTTCTCTCTATGTCCTCAGGTGGAAAAAATAAAATCTCTCAAATTCAAAAACAAAAAAGTAAAGTGCAAACAGAAAAAAAGGCAAAGGTAGTACTGCATAGAAATCAATAATGTTAATGTACTTCAGTCAACATTACAACAAACATGGAATTACAACATGACAGTAATAGATGACAATCATATTGCATCTCAAATGTACAACTAGTAACAAATTCTTTAACATTACAATTTCAACTGGAGACTCTTGCCACGTATTCAGTTTTATCAAAATACCAAATGGATTTAATCTAATTTGATCCATTAAGGCCACATACTGAGATCTTCAATCTTTCTGGTGACTAATCTCCCATAATTTAAGATATATATATATCCTTAGAACCCCATTTGTGTTTTATATCTTATGTGTTTTATATTTCCGTTCCTTTTTTATATGTATGAAGATTTGTTTAGGCCTAACCTACTACTACAATCAGATCATGGATGTCCAAAGTTCCTATCTAAACAATGTCTGTGAATGAAAGTGAGTTAATTACTTCCTCCATCTTAAAAAAATATGAAGCATTTCTTAAACTGTGATCAGTTGAAGTAAAAGAGGGAGAGGTGGAGGAAGAGGGAAAAGACCGAGGGGGGGGATGGGGTGGAAGGGAAAAGAGGAAGGGGAAGTGGGGGAAGAGAGGAAGAAGCGGAGGAGGAGGAAGAGGAAGGAGAAGGAAGAACAAAGGGGGGAAGAGGAAGAGGAGAAGGAGAACAAAGGGGGGAAGGGAGAGAGGAGGAACAACAAAGGGGGAAGGGGAAGAGGAGGAGGAAGAACAGAGGGGGTAAATATGAATAGGAAGAGGGAAAGAAGTAGGAAAAAGAGGCGGAGGAAGTAGAGGTAGAGATAGGAGGTAGAAACAGAGAACATCCTTCCTTTATAAAAATAAGCTAGTAGCTTGAGGTTCACTTGGGCAATGTTCTTCTATCTCAACAACTTTACCCTCTAGTTCACCTGGGTTTATTTTTGTGATCAAAACAATTGCACTAAGTTCACTGGTCCCAAGTTCACTCCCTAAAAAACTGCTTGGCAATCGTCAGGAGTTTCTGGTTTCTCAGACAAAGTAATCCTTCCAACTATCACACTACCTAAGCTTCTCTGTTTGCTGTAGGAATAAATCTGCAACTTCTCAAAAGTGTCTTTTTTCTTCAAAAGTTGTGTCGTTCATGTGTGAAATTATGTCTTTTAAAAAGGACTTCTGATTGCATCTATAACTTGTGGGAAGATAAAAAATAGCAGATGACTGTAACCAACAGCTGCATCACAGTGGTAAAATATAATTGCTTTAATCAACCAGTTCTTATTCAATGAACATTCTTGTCTTTGCTAATGCATTCAGTGCACTGAAAGAATAACCAGTTGATCAACTTTATATCATGCAATTTGTGACAAATATCTTAAAGGAAGCCTTCAGCAACCTCATGCTATATATTTGTATCTGTTATATCAGAAACTTCTTCAACCCAATTTATGAAACCGGGAATCATACCTACAATTTACCTATAATTTTCTCTGTGTGATTTATGAAAGGCACTTTAACAAATTCGAGATTACAACTTTCCCTTGCTTGGTGAATGAGATTCCTCAGATATACACATATACATACATTCAATTTTCTTATGTACTACTGAAGTGCCTTCATAATCCACCATAGCTAATCCTCCTTTTTCAAAAAATATCTATATGTATTCATAAATAAATTAGGTATCTACTTTCTATTCTTTTCCTACTTGTCTACATACCCATATTATTCAACCCAAAGTGGAAATAGTGAGACTATACCAACACTTTTTAGAAATTGTATTATATATCACATTCAAACATGTGTATGTAGCATAATGTGAAATTTGCCATGTGACTATCATCAATAAAAATATTTTGATAGATATCAATGTCATTCTACTGAGAATCCTACAGATGTTAACATAAATTAGTGACCAGTATTTCAGTATAAACTTCATTACAAATTTTTCAACTCGTTATTTGCATATATGACAATTATGCCTCATTCGAAGGATGAGATGCAAATCAAACGAAATCTTACATAATTTGACAGGTTTGATTATGGCCCACTTTACTTGTAATTTCCTATCTCAGCTGCTTAATTCTGTTTCTTCTCTTCTCCATTGTCTTCAGACACTTCTGAAGGATCTGAGGATGATCGGTTGTCTTCAACATTGCCCTTGCTAATTGTTGTTGCTATGATGCGCAAAATCAAGTATGTCCAATAAATATGCAACAACAAAAGAGCAATGAGTAGAGAGTTAAATATATAATAAGCAGGGAACATGGGCAAAATTGTTGGTGCTTCAATGGCAGTGCTGTATACAATCCAGAGTGGGTATATACCAACACGTGTAATGATCCACAAAATAGCAAAGATGGCAAAGACTGCATCACAGAAAGCTTTGTGCCCTGAATAGATGCTCATTTTTGCCAACTGGAGGGGGATATCAGCACAGTCATGGACAATGAGAACTAGCGTTCCAATTCTCGTTAGGTTGCAGGTCCAAGAGAAAGTGATGAGTGCAATGGTGACCATGTGGTGGATAAACATCTGCCAAAAATCTTTGCGCTTGGCTTCAAAGAAATGTGTAAAGGTCATGGACCAATAGAAGGAGAGGGATATCATGTAGTACCACCAGACATCAATATCAACACTGTGGTTAGGGTATTCGTACCAACAATTGCGGATATCCCAAAGCCAAGACTTATCTGACATCACATATAAGCCATAGAAAAAGATGAAGGTATAATATGTACACTGCCAGGCACACTCCATAAACTTGGTGAACTTATTGACACGAGTCATGGCTTGCCTCTGCCGTAACCATCTTTCTACTTTGCGTTCTGTCCACTGCAATTGTTTTGCACATTGACAAATTTCATTTTCTGGTGGTTGTTTTTTGCTTCGAAGGAACAATTGTTCTAGAGTCTCATTAGGCACCACAGGACGAGGCTTTACATCTCTCAGGCCTACTGCCAGAGCTATATGTCGATAGACAAGCTTATTGAGCACCAAAAAACGGAGGCCAATTGCCAAAAATGCCATGAAAATTGGATACGTCCACAGATCACTCCAGTTAGCATAGCGAATCTTCTCGTTGGGCACGAGGTCTTCCCAGCTGTAGTTCGGGGGCAGCCACACATCAGGGTTCCAGAACCAGCTCGAAAACTTGTGCCACATCCACGCAGCCATCCTGAGGACAAGAAACGCCATCACCAATCCATGTCATCACGAATTCTTCATCATTTTCAGGCAAAAGATGGGATGATCAACACCGAGAAGAAGAAGAATCTTGTAATAATGAAGAGCAGAGCAGAATGAAGGTGTTTTACACTACAAGTCTTTTTCCCTTAAAGTCCAACTCCAAATACCATTACAACAATAATTTAAAAGGAAGAATTCTAAGTTTTGGTGCTCATGTTAGTGCTGGACTACAGATCCACTGAGCAATTATGTCTGATCTACAATGTGCTTTCACTGAAAATGAGGATTCTAAATCAAAGTGCAATTACTAGACTGGGGTGCTTGGAAACAATTCCCCCCCAAAACTACAAAAGTAATTAGGAACAAAATGAATTCATCACAAAAATAAGTAATTAGGAACAAAATGAATTCATCACAAAAATAGCCCAGTCTTGACAAATTTGTACTTACTGACTGACACACTCCAAGGATCCTGTCATGCAAAGCTTAAACCAAAGACCCAGGAGAGACCAGCTTACCTAACTGTCACTATTACCACAGTGGCTGATTTGGTAACCCCATATTTAGGCACTATGTGGTTAATGCCCTGATTAGATTAGAGGTATTACTAATGTAATTTCAAATGTGAAACAAACATTCCTGAATATTAATCTTATCTGAGTCATCATTCAATTTTCTTTTCCTAACTTAAATAAAACATACTTTTTTCCAAATAAAATAATTGCAATGTACTACATATGACTTCAACAAAGCTTGCTACACATTTTTATCATTCCAAGGAGATGAGTCAATATGTTTAGCTTCTCCAAATTAAGTAATGCCCTTTAAACATATATGCTAATATCAGGTCACTGTTAAAAACTTACATCATTATGCTAATAACTTTTCCTTGTGTTATCTTTGTGCTTTTATCTTAATTCTGGGAGTCTAGCAAATGATCCGTTATGAAAAATGAACGTCCTCTAAGCCTTTGTTCTGTTTCACCTTCTCTCTCTGTGAAGACTAAACACTGTAAAGATGAGAAGTATAAAAGAAAGTTTACAAGAACAAGATGATGAAAAAGTCTAGCCAGATTTTTTTTCTCTCTCTCTGTCTCTCAGGGAATTGTTCAAGACCATTTACAATTCCTAATGACCATTTAGCAAAACAGGGACTAGATTGTTTACCTATAAAAATCTTTTTACTTAGTGTCACTTATAATCAATATCAAATATTCTATTAATAGCAAATACAGCTGTCAGCCAAATTTTGCTAAATCACTGGGTCTGTGGTGAAAGTGTCAAAGGTAAGCGCCCTCCTCTTTCACTGTGGAAAAAGCAAGAGCACTTTTTTATCTATAAATTTCTTTATATATCCACACATAGAATATATAAATGTTCAGTTTTGTATCATATTCTACATATATACACAAATGTGATACATAAAATAACAAATTTACAAAATACATATCTATGACCTTAAAGGAAATAACAGCATGCAGGAAGAGCCCATATTTTAGTACAAAAATGTAGGAGTTTATAAATAAAAAAGTATATAAAATCTAATATTCTACTACATAATACAGAATATGATATAGTTTATCATCTCATTGGTATAAAGGAGAAAAAAATACTCAATGTTATTACTAATGACATTAGTAATTATTTTAAAATCTTACAATTCTACAAATCAGCAGTTTAAACTGTAGTAACAAGTTGTAGTTACATTTTTCAACCAATTCATTAATGATTGCATATGTTGTATCAATCATCATATAGATAATCTAATGCATGATCTAAATTTTGTTAGTGATACAAGTTTCCTGTGTATTAATTGTAAATATCAGACTTATCAGTCCTAATGACATTATTTTTTTTAATGAGTAGAGAGTTACAATAACAAACAATTTAGTACTATCTGTATCTTAACATTTGGTAAATCTTCACCTGTTATATAACTGATATAGCTATTAGCCTTTCTAAGCTTAAGATAAGCAAGTTGGGGTACACTGTAAATAATTATTATCTAGTGTGCAACTATGTGTATTTGCTTATTACAAATGCCCAATGAAAAGACAGCAATACACCACATATACAACCTCCATTTTCATATCAACACCTATCACAGGTAAAAATAATTATTACAACATTTAAGACTTGTACAGACCTACCATTAAACTACTGCTAACCCTTTAACTGTGTCCATCACCAACTGATGACTTGAGCCAAAAAGTGTCAAACCATTCTCATCATTAATTGACAACCAACTTTTCTTGTCTTCAATTTACATGATCATGCAGTAAAGATCCCTTTAGCTATCACCAAGAAATCTCGTAGATTGTATAAAAGGCATGATGTGTGCCTAAGTTGGCTCGCTGTACATCTAGTATGGAGGACTACCCTTTGTTCTTTGATGGAACCCCTCCCATATCCTATTTGATATGTGTATATGTATATATGTATACATGTATACATATGTATACATATGTATATATATATGTATATATTATATATATATATATATATATATATATATATATATATATATATATATATATATATATACACACACACACAAAGTAAATAATGCAAATGAAGGAAACTGTAATGCTGAACAAAGGAAAACATCTGAGAATTCCTTGTCTATCTTCAATGTTTATTCTTTGTGACCATGAGTCCAGCACCTTTGACAACAATCTAATGGTTAATGGTTAGAAGCAAATAAATGTGCTAGACATCTAAGGTCATATAGCACTATAGGAAGGTACTGTAAAGGGTGGCGACAGGTGATAGTTGCTATGTGTCAACTAACTATAGTAATAGGTATTTGACACATACTTAGGGATATATATTCCATTTTATATATATACATACATACATACATACAGTAGTGTGTGTATAAGATATATATATACAGATAGATAGACAGATAGAAATACGTTAGTAGATCTATGACAGAATGAATAATCCCTCAATGCAAAGTATACAATTAAGGTTTCAAGTTTTTACAATTTTGATAGAGACTATCAAAATGTTAATCACTACATGTTGGAATTATTTGTTCCCTCTTGCATTATGTCCCATCTGTTATAACAACTCTTGCAGGGTTTTCATTCACACTCCTGATCATTAAAATTGTCCATCTGTTATATCAACAGACTTTGCAATTCTAAGATTATCATAGAAAAAAGACATTATTTCACATAACTAGTACAGTCTACAATTTTCAAAATCACATAATTGGAACTGCAAATGTAAACAACTTTGTACTTAAGATTAAATAAAAAAAGAAAGAAAAACATTAAATTATATAATAACCTTTAAACAGTCTGCTGGTTACAGTTTTCAATTTACTATTGTAAGGGAATTTAAAGAAGTGTACAGATTTTTTCTTCTTTTATTTTTTAGATTCATCTCCTTAAACTCTTATTTATGATGGTATCCTTAATTCTTGTAGTCTTTCTATGGCACTTTTTTAAACTACCTTGACCCTATCCATTTATTACCTTCTGTCACATGCCAGTGACTAATGTCTGGAAGACAGTCTGACACCTGACAGGCGAACCGCCCTTAAAACACATGCAGTTTGAAACATGTTTCTCCCGCCGCTAGCTAAACACTCCCTCCTGTGGCCTGCAAAATGCTTGTGTAGAATTCCATGTCTCTGACAAAATTAAACGTACTTCCGCAAGCTTAGTTCTGTTACAACCGGCAATTGGGGGCAATTTAAATGCAGCAGTTAACCCCTCATGTAGTAGAGCCCTTTGCCCATGTATCAGGTAAGATTAATTTTCAGATATCTAGTTTATTACTTTACTTTAGATTTTTTTTTTTTTTCTTTTTTTTGACAACTCGTAATCTTTCATTACAGGAAAAAATAATACTATGGTGATTATTCTGACTGCACCATTTGATGACTTTGTGTACTTAAGAATAAGAACTGGAAAACATAAGATTCATTAAGTACAACTATGTCAAGTATTACTGTCTTTGCAAACTATAATCTGTACAAGTGAATATCATATAATATATCTGAGTGTAAACCAAAACCATAACAATGAAACAAATAATGGAATGAACACATACATACAACTCAATTTAAGAGATTATGCTGTTGGGATTTAAAACTTTAGTCAGTTACTAAGTGAAGCCAGTATAATCTCCAGTGCAAAAAGAATGTGATCATCTTTTAACCACTCAGTTGTGGGCACAGCTACAGCCATCATGATGTAATCAGAGCGGTAGGCCAGTTAATTGGAGCACAAACTCTGCTGAAAGACTAAACTAATGCATAATAATAATTAAGTCAGAGAAAATTTTGGCTGCATCATGATAAAGAGTTAACCCCTACAATCTTATTCATCATAATCATGCTAGCCCAGTCAAAACAGACATTTTTTTTTTTTTATTATACAATATGATCCATGAAAATATTTAGCTTAATGGGCAGGTGAGGTGAACATGCCCTCATGCAAAAATTTGAGAAAGATTTTCCACTGAAGGCCAGGGTGACGGGACTGTACCATCTGTGAGCCATAGCTAGAAGAGCACCAGGAAGGACAATATTTCCATGCTCAGGATCCTATTCCTGACTGGCTGGGCAGGTTGTATTACAGAAATTTGTAAAAGAAAATAAAAAAAAAAAAAAAAAAAATAAATAAGTAAAAATAACAATGTTTTTGTAATATCTATTACTGCACTGCATTATGGACTACCTTGTGAGAAGATATGGAGTCTGTGCAAAGAAAGGAATATACTAGTATCTGGATAAAAAATCAAATAACAAATATAGAAATAGGAAAATGGCAAGCTGAAAATACTTATCCAGAAAGAGAGAAAGTAACATTGCAAAGGGGAGGCATGAAGTCTCGTCAACACACACAAATGTTTGCATGCACCCAGCGTACAAGCTGCACAACCACCAGAGTGGCCGCTCAAGTACGCCTAATGCCCTTTTTGGGGGGCACACATGGGCTCTGAAGCATCCAGATCTAGGTGGTTAGAGACTGATGTTTTGTCACCTAATATATTTAGTTCTGTCTAACTTGTTTCCTCCAGCCACTCTAATAACACCCATATACCCCCATTCCTCCTCTCCCTAAGAAAATAACACTTGTTCACCACATCTCTCTTCTTGTAAATGGCACCTCGTCTGTGTAAAGTAGTAATTCTGGCACATTATGGCATAATTCATCCAGCCAAACTTCCTGGTATATCACTGTCTTCATATAGTCTTTATATTTGAAAACCCAGGTTTATGATAATCTATCTTTATTTTCATATACAAACACAGAGCACTTTCAATAGCTTTTCCAACTTTCCATTAAGAAAAAAAAAAAATCACTGAATGCCACAGTTTTGAACACAGGGCTTTAGAGAGTGAAAGCAACTGACAAGATTGAATCTACTATATATGCAAGTTAGTTTTATTTATTTTCAATTGAAAATTATATCAAGAGCCCAAATTTGGTGGTAGTAAAAAAAAAAAAAATAAAAAAAAAAAAAAAAAATAAATAAAGCTTTCTTCTTAATCCACTGACCCAGGTAAAAAATTTGGTAAGTAGGCCATTAACGCAGGGTTATTGGCCCACATCGACAGTTTCCCATTTGCAACTTGCTCATTTGTAGTTTGCAGGCAACAGGTGGTGCTTAAAAGCTCATTTTTGATATCCTACAAATAAATAAATAAATTTGAAAATGGTTTACCCTCGTTTTAGGAGCTCTTGCCTAAAATTTGACTTTACAAATGATGCCACTAATACCGGACAGAAACAAGCTTCCTCTGATGAGCCAATGGCACAAAAATGGTCATGATGCAATGCCACAAGCTACCTGGTCCACAACAGCCATGGCATGTATGCACATGCCACCCAGCAGGAAGGGGATAAGATTATTGTGTCAGCTTTTAAAAATCACAACAATTTACTAGATTAACCTTTCTCTACATAAAATGTACCTAAATTAATTACAAGTGAACATGATTATTCCTTCTAGTATTTCTGAGAAAATATTTTATCAAGAGAGAATGGTTTGCATGTGAGCATGCCTTTCTTTCAATTCAGATTAGTAAATCTGGAAATAAGGGTCCCTTGGAGACAGGAAAAAGCTAATGTAATGACACTACTGAACACACTATTAGCTCTAAGAATGACAAAGAAATTAGGGGTAAAACCACAATTGTTTGTCAAAGATATATTTGCCATAATTTGAGGAATTAGCGTGACCTCCATGCTTTAGGCACTCCAGCAGATGGACAACGAACTGCTGCTCTCTAAACTTCAGTACTTTTATAAACATTAAATAATCAATAATCCTTGAAACTAGAAC